TAGTGGGCAAGTTCGACTGGTGAGTGCTGAGCCCTCCTCCTGCAAGCGGGCCCCGGGCCCGCCGTGCTGCCTCCTGCTGCGGCCGCCCGTCGGGCCTTCCCCCGGCCGCCCCCACAGCGGGGCGCCCCGTTGTCCCGTCTCACCCCCGCTCGCGTTTCCTCTGGCAGGAGGCAGCAGTACGTGGGGAAGCTCAAGTTCGCCTCCTTGGAGGCCTCGCAGGGTTCGAAGAAGCTCATCGTGGCCACCGAGAAGAACGTTGTGGCCGCCCTGAACTCCAGGAGCGGCGAAATCCGTGAGTGAAGCAGGGGTTTGTTGTGGGGAATGCGCCTGGGGCTAACGTGTCAATCGAGTTGCGCCATGTTTTCATACTGATAAATTAATGCTGGTCTTATTGCTTTATCAGACCCAGAGGATTCAGCCGGCAGTTCAAAAGCAGCTGCTTAGGGCAGGCAGACTGTTGTCTGCACAAGCTTATTGCTATAAAGAGCTGAGATTTAAACATAATAACAAATAAATGCCTTTGGGGGAACAAATCTTGTTCTCACTTAACTCTCTTTCCTTCAGTGTGGCGCCATGTAGACAAGGGAACCCCCGAGGGAGCAATAGATGCGATGCTGATCCACGGGCAGGGTAAGGAGAACATGCAGATGGTGTGCTGGGGCTAGCAGTTGTCGTGGGATCTCAGCCGCGTGTTAGGCCACAGGTTGAACTTGCCAGAGCTCGTTTCCTTGTTGATCCGTGGTGGGATACAAGTTCTGCATTCATCTCCTTTTCTTAATTTCCTGGGCAGATGCCATCACTGTGTCCAATGCTGGGCGCATTCTGCGTTCCTGGGAGACCAACATCGGAGGGTTGAACTGGGAGACGTCCCTGGACACTGGCAGGTAGGCTTGCATGTTCGCACTGTCTCTTTCCCTTTGTAACGTTGGTCTAGGACGGAAGAAAAGGGTTGTTGACATTGTTTGGACTTGCATTATAGGGAAAAATTCGTTAGAGGTAAGGTTTCTAAAATAATATTTAGCTGAATTCCTAAGGAACGCCTGAACCTTGCAGTTAAATCTCATGCTGTTTGTATTTCTTAGCAAACCAGTAAGAGGAAGAGATACAAATTTTTTTCATAGGTGGATTTTCTTTTTAAGTAGACAACATGTTCAACCTGCATCTGGTTTGGGGTGTTTGGATTCCAGCCTCATGCTCTCTGTTGAGATCAGCAAGGATAGATAAAGTGGGCTATAAATTGTACTTCAAGAGTGATATTAAATGTTTGAAGAAGGTCTTCAGAGTGATTTTTTTTTTTTTTTCCTAAAAGAAAATAACTTTCTAACTTATTGTCTCTGACTTGTGCTTAGTTTCCAGGTGGCTCGTTTGGTGGGGCTACAGGACATGGTGAAATATGTGGCGGTCCTGAAGAAGGCAGCCATCTCTCTTCACTACCTTTCCAACGGGCACCAGAAATGGGTGGAACACTTACCGGAAAGGTAAAGAACATATTTTAAGTAGAAGAGTAAATTTATGACAGGGAGCCTGTTGCCTTGGAGAGGAAAGGATGCTGTACTCGCCTTATGCTTTAGAAAACAGCTGAAAACAGCAATGTGAGAAGACAATGCTTCATGGTTGCTGCTTCTCTTGCAGTGAGACTACTCAGTACCAGTTGTTGTATTCCCATGGGACCGGAGTGATCCACGTGGTTGGAATCGTTCCCCAGAGCCACTTGAACGTTTTAACGTTCAGTGTAGAAGATGGAGAAATTACAAAACAGGTAGTGCTCGATTATGGATCCAAAATACTGAATTTGATGTTAACAAATGTACTTCCAACTAGATGGAGTGTGGCGTGCAGAGTAATTAATTGTTGTAGTACAGGTAAACTTCCCTTTCACTGTGGCATTGTCTATGGGCCAATAAATGGATTTCACTGCTGAATGCCCTGAAAGCAAAACTCAATTAGACTTGCAGCTGTTAGTCAAGACCATCCTGGAAATCTCAGGCTGGTAGATAGTTTCTCCCAGGGTCATAGGTAAAAATAATTCTGACCTAAATTCTTGGTTGTGTCCAAGGTGGTTCTTTGATGATTTTGTTCTGTTGACAACTTCATCTCTTTGCTTATGTCTCGCTTGGCAGATCAGAGTCGCAGCCCCGTGGCTGAAGAGCTTAAACGACGTGTGCAGCGTGGTGGGGGAGGCAGTGCTGGTCTGCGTGGACATGGACACGCATTCGCTCTATGTGTGCTCCTTGGAGACGGAGCAGGAGATGAAGCAGATCCCGCTGCAGGTGAGAAGCGCTGAAAGAGCATTGTACGTAATTCGTTGTCCAACTGGTTTGGTGCCTGACCAAGCCTGGCAGCGTAGGGGGTTCTCCTGTTGGTAAACTGCGGAATGATTGAAGAGGCGTGGGGAGGAGCGCGATCCATAAATTGAGGGCAGGGAGAGAAAGCTATGTGTTGTGTCTGTCTAATCATTCCTTCTGGATTGATGTCTCCCGAGTTTGCTCCAATGGGAGCCTAGTTCGTCTTGCTTCTGCTGTACGTTGATTCTGACATGGGGAACCTCTTCGTAAAGCTTATATTACTGCTAATAAAAGGAAGGTATTCGTTTCAGTGAAGAAAAAGTTCTCATGAACACATATGCTTGTCTCCCCTTCACAGTCACTTGACCTGGAGTTTGCTGATGGCTTCCAGCCCAGGATATTGGCCACTCAACCCAGCGTAATCAGTGCTTCGCGGACTCAGTTCTTCCTGCAGCTGTCTCCGAGCCACTTCTCTTTGCTGCAGTACAAACACGGGCTGCTCAGCCACCTTCGGGACTTCCACCAGGTAACCAAGATAAACGTAATCCAGCAAGAGCGCCAACTACAGCTTAAAATTGTTCAAAAATAAACCAGTACACTTGTACTAAGTGCTCTGAACAAACTGCCGAGCTTCTCATTTCAATTGTGCTCTTGGCTGCAACACTTGAAAACCATTTGATTTAATTTATACCAGCTGCTGAAGTATTTCCAGACATCAGCGTAGGTACGCTTTGTTGCTGACACCTGTCAGCGTCGGGGTGGTTTCCTGGTTTTGAGGTGGATAGAGACACGCGTCTCTAAGTGGCCAGCGGTGCAGCAGGACTTTTGTTAGGCCAGCTGAGAGGTTTTGAAAAGCAAGCAAGCTTTAAAAAGCTCAGTAACACTGGGCATAATGGTTCAAAAGCCTGTGGCAGGTCAACTGTTTCCATCTTTGAGAAGTGTTTTCAGTCTTAGAAGAGAGAACTTTTTTTTTATTTGATGAAACAATGAAATTTAAAATTTGGCTGTGAAATACCATTTGGTTTTGATTCCAGTATGGCTTAATTTGCTGCACAGGTAGTTTTTGATGGGGTTTGGGGATTTTCTTCTTTGTTTTAGGATTTCCTGCTATTTTCTTCTTTTCAGGCAGCTCTGGTGAGTTTTGCAACAACTGGGGAGAAAACTGTGGCCGCTGTCCTGGCCTGCAGGAGTGAACTGGTTAGTACAATTTGCCTGTAGTATGTAACCAGCACAGCGCTAGCACGGATATGCACTGGGGGTGGGTTCCACAAGTGTTTTCCTTACAGGGATGGGTAATAGCTTGAGGAAGAGGAAGATTTCATTAGCGCCTCAGATGTATGAAGACAATGGTAATGCAAGCAGATCTTGATTACATCTAGCTAAGGCTGTCTCTGGCTTGACGAAGCATGCTGTCCTGTGCGCAGCCTGTTTCAGCCTCGTGCAAGGTGGGCACGTAACCTAGGAACGGGCTTTACTGATCTATAGAAGACTTCAATTCTTACGGATACCGAACTTAGCAAGGTTTCATTTTTATCAGAAATGGAGTAGAATGGAACACTACTGTTTCCTGCCTGCTTTCAGAGTCAAGCTGAGGCTTGTCAGGCCCTCAAAAACCATTTTTTTTATGCTCTTATTGGGGTCTGAAACCATGTTCTCTCTGCTCATTCTCATTTCAGAAACCTGGAAGTTCTGATGGCCTTCATGGTGGAGGTACTCTGGAGGATTCCCGGAAGCAGGTATAAAGCGTGCTCGTTCCCAAGAACAGCGAAGTTCCTGACAGTTCATTTTCTTCTTTTGCATGTGGGAACAGAACGAAAAAGGTGTTACACCATGGTTTTGGAGACGGTGTTTTGCAGCAGCTCCATATAAATAATCTAAAAATATCTTGAAGCCACAGTTCTTGCTCAACAAGAAATCCTTCTGCAGAATTCGGTGTGGCGTGTATGTTTAGCTCAGCCTCTTGTTTTCCACCTCTTGTTACAGGAATCCCTAACCTGTTCCAATCAAACCTACAATATTAATCTCTACCTGGTTGAAACTGGACAAAGATTGTTGGATACCACAATTACCTTTAACCTGGAGCAGAGCGGTGCCAAGCCGCAGCAGGTGAGCAGGGAGAGATTCTTTCAGACCTGTGGTTTATCAGACTTGCAGTGCCCTCCCTACCCTGATTTGGCAGGACTGGTACAGCCCTTCAGCCCAGGGGAAAAGCATTCTGCAGACACACCAGATTACTGCGCACAATCACACTGTTTGCTCTTGTTTCACCTGCGAGTTCTGTTTTCTCCAAGGAGATGATGTGATCGTTAACCTCGCTGTTTTGCTTGCTCTTTTTTCCAGCTATACATCCAAGTTTTCCTGAAGAAGGATGACTCTGTGGGCTATCGCGCCTTGGTGCAAACAGAAGACCACATGCTCATGTTCCTCCAGCAGCCAGGTAACTGGCAAACAGCTAACCTACTCCATTTTTAACA